CAAAAACTTTAAAAAGTCTAATTACAATGTAATCGAGAATTTTTTGGAGTTTACCTAAACAACGGCACATTTGAAATTTATATCTACAGTGGCAAGAGATACCTGTCTTAGCGCGTGGCGCTTGAAGCGCGCATTTTGCCCTCGATTTTCAACTACATAGTCACGTGGAGCAGTGTCTTCGAATGCAAAGAGAGCTGTGTACGGATCCACTGGCGCCAAGTTGTGCCCATAAGTTATCGTCAAATTATCCGGATCTAGAAATTTCTTCAATTTGATTTGATAGATTGTTTTTTTTAATATTTTTTTGCCGCTTAGCAACGGACATCCACATTCTGCTTTATTCTGAGCTTGCTGCATTCCGGACAGAACAAAGCAGAAGAAACAGTGGCTTGCACTGGTGTAGTCAGTGCGATGATGCGTTTTTTATGCAATTTTGTCTGGCAGATATTTGATGTTGGAAATGTTCAGTGCTTTACAGATTGATATGTGCAAAAATAATCGAAATGTCTGATCTCTGAGCTAAGAAACTTCACACCAAAAATTTCACGCTACTACAGCTCAAACGTAGACTTACGTGGGAGCTTAGGGTCGCGCATGAACAGAAAACATTTTTCGAGAGTCCTAGCTGTTTGGTTCTCGGACTATAAATTTTCTGTTTGAAATTTCAAGTGCCTATGCCTGAGACGTATGCATACGTGAAGGCTAAATTTGGAATTCCAGTACTGTACATTAACATACTAAACAAGATATGAACAGGAAACATTATCCCAAATTTCAGAATTGCATATTAACATTATCCTAAATTGCGTACTAACATTGCATATTGTATTATCCTGTTATTGCATATTATCCTAAATATTAACATGCATAAATTACGTATTATCTTAAATTTCTAGCAACTCATCTTGTTCTATTCCCGAGTTAGGAAATTCTCTTACAGTAAGGCCCTGTTCCCGTACTCGTGACCAGGCAACTGTAAAGGTTGGAGCGTGAAAACTGAAAAATGAGCAGAAAATATCGTAAAATTTCATTTATCTATTTTGCTTTTTTTCTGAGTCGGAAAATTTCCATTCAAAATTTTCACGTGTCCATACGTCACACCTAAGCTTACGTAGAAGTTAGACCTAAATTTACGCGTCGTAGATGGGCAAGAAAAATCATCCGAAAACTTTAGCTTCCTAGTGGTTCAGGTTCTTGAGTTAAAAACCCATAATAAAAGCTCTCGGATACCCACACATACATACTTACACATGCATGCATGCACATACATACATAAGTCCACATGTAAATGCGTAAAAAAACACACAAAAAGGATCATGACAATATGCGGAACGCATAAAAATGAACATAGAATTCACCAGTATTCTGGCTCTCATGTGAGGTAGATGGATCAAGATTACTATGAAGCGAAGCGCAGTTTCTAGGCGCTTCTTAACGATGATAGCGACAAAGTTGTCGGGTGTAGAGACTGTATATTCAACAACAAAGAAAAAAAAAACAGAATATTGTTAGGAACAAGACAGTTGTACTTACGGTAATAAATATTTCCTGAGAGCGGAAGACGGTAAGCTAATTTTTTAGAAATTGGAACCGGCAAATCGAGTTCTCCGTCTAGCCCGTTCACATATCCCCAGTCGTGTTCAATCTACAACAATGCATGATGAGTTATATGCAGCATTCGAGAATTAATGTAAAAGAACGGAGAGTTTGGAAATGACGAACTGTTGCTGATTTAATCATCGTGCACAAACTAATCTACGGCAACGGTGATTTGGACTCAAAGGAATTTTTGGATTTCCGTGTGAATTCTACTGAAAATAGAAAACTGCAGTTGAAATGGTAAAAAAATAAAAACGGAGCTGGAGAAAGATCAGAAATAAGATGAAGAAAAGAATATTAATAATTAGTCTAGTATGGTGCTTGTTTGATGGATACCGGTGGCTTGTAATTCATCTAAAAAGAATAAAAAAAGCCACCCAAAATTGTTTTCAGTGAACAGTTTATAAAAATGTGAAAGGATCTGTTTAAAAACAATGCCTTCTTTCCTCATTCTGTGATGAGAGTTGCAGCCTTGAAAACTCTTCTTTAGAAGTACAGTGAATTAAGGCGTTTAAACCTACACTAAATTTTTTTTTGAGCAAAAGCATGATATGTCATATATAGTGCTTGAAGATATACCGTATTGTACTGTACCCCCTGCCTGCTGCGAAAGTCAGTCAAAATTAAAGGAAGCAGCCATACTATGGGACGTGTGAAAATGAAACAGCTGTAAGCAGATACAACGTATGTTCGGAGCTATTAATAAATGCAAGAAAAAAAATCTTAAACATCTGCGATGGAGCAAAAGGACCGGTATTGTAACGGTTAATATATCAAAATTTGACTAATTCTGAAAAAAACAGAGTTCGATTTCTCGTGATATACATCCTTGCAAAACCTAGATTCTATTCACGGTATTCCACTTTCCATTTGGGGAACACTTTGTCCAAACGCACATAAAGAGATGATTACCTGCCTCAACTTTCGCTGACTGTGGCGCTGCACTGTAAGCAACCGAGGTAAAATATTTAGTTCTACAGTAGCTGATGATAATCCGTCAAAATACACTTACCCCAAGTGCAAAGTTTTGCGTGTAAGGATTGCACATTGGCGGACGACATGACATTGGTACAAATGCTTTCGGTAATTTTGCAACCGGTAGCAGTGGTTGGTTATCTGGAAAGGCCGTTTTTACATTAATTTTGAAAATACATCCATTACTTCTAATCTGTAGTTTTTTCTTCTCAAAGGTGATGATCTGAAATAGCTTCTCAGCGTAGAAAGTGCCCGGCCGGGCTGAACCGTGCGATGCAGGAAAGTTGACCTTTTCTTTTACGGGTGTGAACACGCATTTATAAATAATAAAAATAACAAGATGATTTGAAAAAGTTTTTAAGCGTAGAAAGTGCCCGATAGGGCTGAACTGTACGTTGCAGGAAAATTGGCTTTTACTTTTATAGACGTTAAGCACGCATTTATAAATAATAATTAAAAATAATAGCAATAATAATCTAGCTGCAAACGTGCATATCTTGGTGAACCTATTTTGCCTTGTTTCTTATTTTCGATTCGCAGAAGAATTTTTGCAATGCCAACATACCCGCTGAAACACTTCCACAAAGTTCATTAAATTTACGAAAACTGCTATCAATATGCATGGGGAAGCAACCCGTTATAAATAGCTTGGGACATCAGCTCTGTATGCCCAGTTGTTTAGTACAGGGATGAAAAGAGAAAGCAAAAGTCTCTTTTTCTGTAACAGCTTTTGAAATGTAGGCAAGTTACAGGAAAAAGTAAGTGAAAAACTTAAATCATCAAAAATCTACTTCGATTGTAATGCATTGATGGATCGGACATCAGTCGAATGAAATCATCTTTGGTTAAACCGAGCATGTTTACTGGTGAAGTGTGATAGCCGACTAATGTATTGTAGTCTTGAACGCGCCAGAACACTCGACCCGAGAAGTCCCAGATACCCCAAGTGGGCACCGGTACATATATGTCACCGCCGGCATGCTGCAATCGGGCTAAGGGAAGTACACGACAAAAGAAACAAAAAGATTCAGTGGGAAGTATCAAATGTAATTTCCTTAAAGTTAGTGAAGGAAAGAAAGCAGCGAATGTCTTAAAATTTGAAGAGGAAAATCGAAATTCATGCACCGTATTGCTGAACTCATCTGGAACGAGTGAAAGAAGGGTATAGAGGAAAAAAGAGGGATAGGAAAAGCGAGAAAAGGAAGGACAAATGAATTGATTTAGCTTAAATTCATGCACTAAACTGACCGAAGAGTGGTATTTAAGGATTTGTAGCACTTTCGCATGCTCGGCCAAAACATTCCTTACCATTATAATAATTTTATTGAAATAATTCCACTAATTCTACTAACTTTTGAATCCTTGTTTCGAACTTTCCTCTTCGACTCTCCTCCTTATTTCAGTATACCTTTCTACTACAGTTCCTCTAACAAGAAAGCAACTGCCGTGGCGATGTTTTAGAATGAACACGAACGAACCCTGGATTGCGCTGGATCGACGTCAAGACCAAGTTGGAAGTGATTCGAAAATGGAAAAATTGGCCAGTAGTCGGCGTAAGAATCTCTCCCCGGCAGCGGTTCATGAGGTCCTGCAAAATAGAGAAAAAAATAACGTGCACGTTCCAGCGCATATTGTTCCCCTCCCCTCCCCCCTTTGTCTTTTGTCTTTCTCCAGTTCCTTGTAGCTTAAGTTGCTCGGTAAAAACTATTGCAAGATGTACTAAATTCGCAAATTTAGCCCTATAGCTGGTGTATACTAAGTTAAGTTCCCAGGGATTTTGCGCAAAAATGAAATATTTAACCGGGTACGAAAACTGGGCCACTGAATGGCT